AGCACAACACTGCACAGCACAGCATAACTTAACAAAACATTACATAACATAACGTTACATTACATAATAGTATAACATTACATAAGTATAGATCTGTTACTGACTTAGAAATACTTAAAACAATTGATACTATTCTATTTCTCTTGAAATAATATTATGCATTCGTTTTGTCTCGTGTCTCTAGATTGTGAGGCGATAGTCTGAAATTTGTCAGGATAATCTTATGCATATCTGTATTTATAACGGTTAAGTACATGAAAATGAATATATTAAAAAACTTGTTTAATCAAAACATCAAATATATTTCATTTGATAAGTCCAGTTTTAATTATTTATAAATGAATGTAGAAGAACGTTTGTCCGGTCATTATACTCATATAAGTAAAAAGATGACATAAGTGAACCGAGATAAGAAAATATATTGTCTTATTTATTTACTTATTGTTGATCACTTGTAAAAAAAACAACAACAAAAATAAACAACAACAACAACAACAACAAAAAACATAGGTAAACTACAGTGATAAATTTATGATGTATTTTCTACCTTTGAACTTAAAACGGTACGGACATGTAGGTCTGTGTAAAACATGGACGCTCTTTGTTGAGGATTCAATCATCACATTTGGCGAAATATGTTTTGGCTAGGATTCTTCCTCGGATGAAGATATACCAGAATTTTACATTCTAACAACTGAATAATAGTGATACATGTACTTAAGAAGATAAATTTAATTCTGTAAATTTATTTTAGGCTCTAACAAGGATCACAGCCCAGCGATTATGGCATCACTAGGTCATCCTATTATCGAATGCTAATCGAAACATCCTGTAATATTTGACTAGGTCAAACTGAATCAACCCCCCAGGTTACGATTATAGACATAGAACATGTCGTGCAACAGTTATCGAAACATATCAGATAAATGCCACGTTGTCATCTACACAGAACAACGTTGATTTCCATGTAGCGTTCGTAAAAAACCTAGCTAATTACAGTGTTGGATATCTGTATGCTGATGCAACTAACTGGCAGGAAAAAAGTACCTCGCTAGTATTACACATGAACGCTTGCGACGATGTCTGGTTATCATGTTTAAGCGACAATACAATTCATGGAGACCAGACGGGAACTTCAGCCATGCATTCTCATTTTTCTGGCTTTCTTATATCAAAAGATTGAAAAAATAAACCAGTTATTGCAAACTAATTTAAAGATATAAATCTTTGATTTAATACTACCTGCTTATTTAATTGTGTTTTCAAAATCTGTATAACGATGGCAACCAATCTCATTTGCAGAAGAGAAGTACAACTTAGTATAACAACGACATGTGTTTATCGTGTAGAATGGATATCGTGAAAACAATAGAATGTTTCATGGAGATCTATTTACAACTTAAGTCTTCATTCTCATTTTTCTGACTCTGATACTTAAAATAAAGAAAATAAAAAATCTAAAGTTTTTCTGAAGATATGTCATTGATTAAATATTATGTATACAAATATCTATTCTTGAGTTGCTATTCTGGCTCATCTCTGAACTCGATGGTTCGTCTTCGCCAGGCCGTTAACTGCCAATAGGCAGCAAACTTTGCAAGGCCGTCAATTTCATTCCAATAGGGCGAAAGACACTAGAGCTAATGGCCGCTAAATTCATGTCACTAGGTCGCAAACGTTACGCCGCTAGAGCGAAAGGTCGCTAACTTTATGCCGCTATGCCGCTAACTTCATGTCGATAGGACGAAAAGCCGCTAACTTTCCAAAGCTGGTTAGAGTGCATTTGATACTCAAAGCTATATGCTATGTATAAAATGAATGCCTTTTTTACGCAAATTATTTTTTCATAGAATTGACAGGTATATATCCAAATATCAATTCCAATTTCTTTTACTTTGGGTTCTACCATTTGACTTACTCCACAGACAGAACTTTTGCAAAGGGTTTAGCGATCATAAAGACCAAGTCTCTGTGTTGCAAGGGGATAGGGGTGTGGTTACAATTGCATGGTATACAACCATATCAGAGGCTCTAGTTTGTATTCTTCTTGTTATAAGACATGGATATAAACCAATAACATTAATACTTCTTCTTTTTTTAATTTGCCCAAAAGACACTAACCTTTTTTGTTGGATTTTGTTTTACGTCGCACCAATATATAGGTCATATGGCAGCTTTTCATCTTACCGGTGGACGTAGACCTCCGGTGCCCCTCCGTGCATTATTTCAGGCAAGAGCACTGACAGGCACCCGAGTAAGCTAGCTGGATAGCCTCCTGACATTAGAGAATCCAAAGTCCCTGGTAGGAATTCGAACCCACAACGATGAGCGGCAAATGGTTTTAAAATAACGACTTTTACCACTCGACCATGAACACCTCGGGGTCACTCTAACACAATATCATGTAGTATTATCCCGAATGACCTGCGCAAATATGATCACCGAAATTACAAGGCACCTTTTCAATAAGTAATGTTTGCCCGTTCACATCTGAAATTGATTGCATACTTTTTTACGAGTATATCTACAAACACTTATGAAGAATTTATTCTTTCAAGTAATTTGGGTCTGCGTTAAGCTACCTCGTAGACAATTGTTGTTTTTAAGAGACGATGATCGAGATACATGTAGGCACAGCTGCAACTGTTTCAGAGTTTTTATACTCTTTGATGTAAAGCATGTATTTGCCATCTTGTCAATTCGTCAATTCTTCCTTCTATCTAGGGAATATATATAATGGGGTTAGGATACGAGTACAAAGTTCATTTCGGGTTGAAAAAGTGACTGAAATTGTGGGTGCAAGTAAAAGTATTAAAGGAATATGATTAAAACTTCGTACATTCATATGCTAATTACTGTATTTTTAACAGCGTTTAATCCTTTGATCAAGCATACGATTACTTATATTAAGTTCATTTGTATAATTCACTGTTCTTTCCTAGAGAAAATGCAGCGTTCAAGAACCATAATTTTACTTTTTTTTCAATTATCTCCCTTTATGGTTCATGTACTTTAAATGTTAACAATGATATCTTATGTAAACTTTACACATTTATAAAAAAGAAAACAAAGGAAGAAAAAATGAGAAGAAGCGCAGTGTTAAAGAATCATAGCTCTACATTGTTTATCTTTGATTTATCTCCCTTCATAATATTTAAAAGAGCTTGCCATTGATTAGCTTGAAAAATAAACTTTACACAACGATATTGGTATTAATAAGTAAGAAGAAGTGTAGTGTAAACAATACATAATTCTATGTTGCTTAATTTTTAAAGATATACTCATATATATGCTCATCCTTGAGTAAAATATTTTAATCACAGAAAATTATTGAAATCTATGAAATTCTTAAGGAATATGTCTCATTTTAATAAAAGAATGAATAAACTGTGTATCGGAAGCTGCGTTTCCTGTAACAGGTCAAGTAAAATTGGTCTTTGTCTTTTCTTAAAAAAAAAACAAAACAAAAACAAACAAAAACTATCAGTTTTTTAACGACACTATATAATCAATTGTGACCACCTGTTGTATGTAGAGTTTAAAAAATAACATATCTACTGTGTGTGAAGTCATAACATGTTTATTTTATGTTTATTAAGACACTGTGTAGCAATTAGCAATATTTTCTAATATCAAATTTGAGGATAGTATATATTAAATAATCATTTCATGTTTAATAATGATTGTCATAGAGACAAGTGAAATGAAGTACAACATCAAATATCATAACTCTCCATAAGTTAGTTTTGTAATGATCACCCTTTATGATACATACATGGTAATTATGCTTTGAAATTTAGCAGGAGACGTGTCATGACAAAACCAACATAGCGCGTTTGCGACCAGCATGGATCCAGACCAGCCTGCGCATCCGCGCCGTCTGATCAGGATCCATGCTGTACGCTATCAGTTTCTCTACTTGTAATAGAGTTGGTAAGCGAACAGCATGGATCCTGATCAGACTGCGCGGATGCGCAGGCTGGTCTGGATCTATGCTGGTCGCAAACCCACTTATGTTGGTTTTGTCATGACACGGCTCTTTTATTGTCAAATCACACAATGATAGCAACGTCAGAGAGGAAGTGCATTGTCCAAAAACTAAAATGCATTCTTGCTTGATGTTTTAAAAATAATCTCCTGCTATAATACTAGCCCGGAGTTCTATGATATGATATCTTTGACAAACAGTTTGGGAACAAGTACACTTATTAAATAGAAGAAAAATCTCATATTTGATGTTTGATGTCTATATTTAAATATTTTCTGATAAACGTTAAGATCCTGTAACACAATTTTTTATAGTTTTAAATCATAAATGTGATGCTCAAATTAAGATTTATCAATATTGTATCTTCCAAAAAGCATTATTTATAAAGATATTACCGAATTTAACATTTCGTGTAATTAAAGGGATGTAATTAGAAATTTTATTTAAGTTTAAGTCAAATTTTCCAATAAGAAATGGATGCATATATATTTTAATGATTACATATAATATGCACAAATATTTGCAGTACATATTTTACATATTCTTCAATGTTTGAAAATTGTTTTATTTTTATAATTATGTACATATATATATAATTTCACTTAGTGTGGTTAACCACTTTAATCACAACATACAGCATCTTTATTTTTCCGTGTTAACAGTGTTCCATGGCCATCCATACATGTTTTTTCATCCATTAAAATTGGTTTGTTTCCTGCGCGGCTGTGGTGTTCTATGGTGTTCTATGGCGGATTTTATGTGGTGCCTTTACATCAGCGTTAAGTGAGCTTAGCTACGGAGAAAATAATAAAATTATTATAATACGTTAAATTATTGACTGATGCTTTTCATTATTTGGTAGGTACATATCTTGGATCGTCCTATAACTTTTCGTGGAAGAGGTGGTCAATTGGAATAAGAAAAGGTAAGGAAACTGGTAGAAAATTGCTTTTTAATTTTTACATTTGCTCATTATTACACTGGTTGATGTGTTGCATATTTTAGTATCACCCGTTTTCCTCTTACTGGCGCTTAGAGCTTATACTCTTTTTTATTCCTACGCCATGATAAAATACAACACTCTTGTAAATATGATACCATGTTTATTTATACATATTATTGCCATGTATTGCATGTATAAATTGTTTGAATATATCTATATGCTGTACCATGCATACGACTAAATAAACTTTCTGTTTTGTTCTGATAATGTCTGTACATCAATTTGCGCGTTCGTGTGTGTGTAGATTAAGCCCATCTCAAACAGGACACACGGCTTATACGGTTGGCCACCCGTGTAAACCGTATATACAACCGAACAAACCGTAGCGTTATCCGAGTTACACTCGGGCAATTCGAGTGTATCCGTGTAAGCCGTGTATGATTTTTAAAAACTTATAAATAACTAGTACGGATGCCATGTCCGTGTATGACCGTATAAGCGACCGTACAAGACCGTGTGAGACCATATGAGACCGTATATACAGCCGTATGTGAAGTCCACTCCACGAGTGAGCCCAACCGTATCAAGGTCGTATATAAATCGTATGGAATCGTTCGAGACCGTCCCTAAGTCCTAAATCCAACACCCGATTAACACCCGGATATCACAAGGTCACGGTACGATTCAAACGAGTGCACACACGGTTTCATACGATCGCCATACGACTTATACGGTTAATGTACGAAACATACATGGCCGACACGGTATAGTACGGGTATAAAAGGTCTCACACTGCCTCGTACGGTCTAACGTGGCCTCTACGTCAGCAAGAACGGTACAAAATAACACAACTACCTGCTGCCACCTTACCAAGAATACTTGCTGCATCACACTAGAATGTATCCAAAGAAGAAGGTTTGGACGCACATAATGAATACTAGAAGGGCCATCCAGGCCCACCGACCACTACAACTTATTGACCCTGATGAGCTGGAGGACCAACCTGCAATACCCATGTCTCCCAGGGATTCAGACTCCCATGCCAGCTCGTCGCCCCCAAGAAAAAAAGACACATTTTACATTGCTTCACCTTTTTATTCATTTATTAATGTTAATGATCTATATATAGGTGTTCTTCGTTGAAATTTCGAAATTTATGAAGCCAAGTCATCAAAATGGGTTAATTTATATCAAACTTACACAAATGTGTGATATTTCGAGCATGACTCGAACAAAAGTAGGCGGGACCCTATGTAAATCCTACGAAAGTCGAGTAAAAGTCGTGTTTAATCGTACCAAACCGTACTAGACCGTACTTTGAACCGTACAACAGTCGTATGTATTCGTATGCAAATCGTGTTCAAACCTTGTTTGACCGAGTATATCCGTGCTCAATTCGTACATACTCGTGCTATATTCGTGTCTAACTCGTGCCAACTAATCCCCTAGCACAGTTGGAGCTCAAAACTCGTACCAGTCAATCCGTGTACAACCGAGTATACCGTATGGGAACCGTGTGCCCAACCGCGTTTTGTGTGAGACGGGCTTTAGTACGTGTGTTCTTAACCCTTATCTAGCCCATAACTTGGTCATACCTCAAGGGATTTTGGAAGGTTTTTGACACACTTGTTATGTACGACGTAACAGTGTGACAGGCACGAGACATAGAACCCTATCCCGAAGGTCAAAATCACACTTAGATGGGGGGGGGGGGGAGAAAAACGGGAAAAAAATAACTATGCTGTCCTGTCATAATATTTTTATTCTTATTATTCAATGTCGGAAAATATGTAGCGCGTGCAGCTGTGATTTCACACACATTTATAGTTTATAGACTGATGTGCATTGAAAGAAAAACATTGTCAAATATGCATTCATCGGGCCTTTGCAAGCTTAAAAGCAAACACGAGGGCCAAGAGGGCCCTGGATTGCTCCCATAAGAAATAGGTCAAACGGTCAAAGTAGAGCCCCTTTTCCTCCAAGAAGCACGCTTTAAACAACTTTTGTACACTGTCACCAAGAAAATTTTTGTGTAAAACTATTTCAAAATTGAACCAGTGGCTGAGATGTTGTTTAGATGTTGTTTTCTAATTTAAGCTCTAGCAGCCACTTTATTAAACAGTTCAGCCTGTCACTGTGACAGGTGGGTTAATAAAAAGATGGCATAAAAAATGAAGGAAAACAAACATTTGACCTAGATCTATCACACATGATTCTGTCAATTTTTGTATCGTGCAAACCAAAGAAAAAAAACAACATTCTAATGAACAAGATACAAATGTAACACAGAATAATGTAAACTGTTCTAGCATGTATTTATACATTTATTCATAATTGTTGTTGACCTTGTGCTGTAGCTTTTAGATTCTTATAATTACAAATACACCTACATATAATAAATTGTATCTAGTATAGTGTAGAAGTAATTCGGGGTAAACTAAACACAGACATTTAAGATAAAATAGAATCTTTGAGGGCCTACTGTATATATCTCTGATAAATATTAAACCACTAAATTTCGACATTTTTAAAGCTTTTATTTTAGAGCATTCTTGCATAAAAACTTGGCGCGCATGTATACATTAACGAAAAATATGCATTCTAGCACGCTTTAAATTAGCCTTACATCGGTGTCACATGACGTCAAATATGACGTTAAAAAACCAAATGACGTCAGGAAAATTACTTCTATGCTAACATTTAATGTAGTTCAACATATTTTATCAATTCTCTTCTTTAGTAGCAAGTAAGAATAGAAATTAGTGTTTGAAATTAATTTTTGCCCAAAAGGATTGTAGCATTTTAAATGAATCTTAATGCATTTACTTTGGTAAATCGGCAAACTGTTAACCAGTCTTGTAAATCGACCATTTAAAAATAATTTAAAACACTAGATCTACTGCGCCGCGACTGGCCAATTTAATTTCATAAATACGAACTAATTAACTTTAAACTGTACTAAATATTATTTTTTCTTGCATAATAGTACAACAATGCACTGTTTTTCGTTCGATTGCTTTGTACTTTCATGCAATCATGCACCATTTTTCGTGCATTAACATCTGCAATAAAAGCCCTCTGACATTAAATCGCTCGCCCTGTGAGTTAGTGTTTTTATGCCTCGATGTTAACGCATTTGGGTGTGTATTTGAGTGTGTTGCTTTTCGTTGTGAAATAACACACCAGTACTCTTAACTGACTGAAGTCAATGTCAGTAACACTCTCTTAACTCAATACAGGATTGGAGCAGTACCTCTAGACGATTGCAGAAATCATGATCACAAAATAGACAAATATCGTTTTTTCGGAGATTTTTTACATTTTTCATTCATCATCATGCATAAATCTGTGTAAAAAGATGGATTAGACCTTTTTAAGTTCATTCCTTTGGGTAAAAAGGCAATATTTTAGCACTTTATCATTCAAGCGCCTTGTCCGGTATATACCTGAATACGGTATTTAGTGTGGTGTTCCAATCCTTTTTTAGTCCCACTTATATATACCATTGCTATATCGATCAGCATCACATTGTCCCTTGTTCTTAAAACGTTAAACATCTTTTTTCCTTTGGTACAAAATTTCATGTGTGACCGTAGTTTTTTGGGGATCGTAAACAGCAAGGGGAAATTCTTCAGAATGTGAGCTCCCATCAAGAGACGTATTTACCGACACGGAAAGTCTTTCAGGCACACCATCACCAGAACAGTTTTCAGTGATAGAATTCGTCTCAGAGACATGCATGGAAATGCCACCAGATATAGAAAAGTCATCAGTGACTTTAGCCTTTTTCTCCTCTCGCTTCCTGGCACGCTGTAATAATATCAAACACTAATTTTTAACTTCACAGTTAAAAATAATATTCATTCATAATTAATAAGAATAGAAAATATCTTAATAAAGAACAAAAGGATTATAAAATTGTTATAAGATAAGAAAAACTGTGACAGTATTTAGTTATCTTACCTTTTGAAGAATTTTAAGAGCTGATTCAGAATCATACATAAGGTAAGCCTTTTCCATAACTTTTTTCACTTCATCAGGATCGTAACCCATAGCAACAATATTTGAAATACTTTCATTAACTTCTTTGTAAAAGCCTTCAGTGTGTTCTCTGTTTAGTTTATCTTCTTCCATTTTAGCTGCAAAAAAAAGTAAAATACGCTGGGAATTAACTGGCTACACAGAGATATGGCAGTGTCTTTAGGCGTTTTAACAATCATAATTACGAAATAGTAGAACTTTTCTTCGCCAGTTCTCAAATTTCTTCCTACATTTTTGTAAAAGACGAGATTTTAGCATTTCAACTTTAGTGATGATGCTGATGACTTTTTAGATCGGCCAATATCTGTGAATGAAATTATTGATGCTGTCAATTCCTTGAAAACGGACGCGCCGTCCTGGACGGTATACGGTTTTTAGTGTGGTGCTCAAACATATTTTAGTTCATTCAAAATAATGTTATAGTTTGTAACAATGTGCAATTGAAACGATTGATTGTTTTTAAGATTACGCCATTAATCTAAATAACAGAAATCTCATAATAGACAAAAGCATCATAATGGCCCTTATATCGCTAACCTAATTAAAAAGGCGCTTAATGGAACAATAATTATTCTTAATTAAAAATGAAAGGCAGATATAATGCCTTAGCCGCATAGGTGCTATATTAAGAGATCAAAACGAGGCGCAAAGTAGAAGAATCGTATGCAAATTCAATATCTTCACCGACAGGGAAATTGTTCGTAAATCAAGCCATGAATTAAAGGACACTAATAATTATACATGTACAATAATATTGTATTTTTCATAATTCTTGCCCATACAGGTCACAAACATCAACCTTTAGATTTAGCTTCTTATGATCCATTTCAACACATGTACAATAATGCATGTCACAAATTAATGCGTGAAACAGCTTCATCACTGTCACAAGATATAACATTTGTTCTCTTACTTGTACGGTACATCTTCAAACATTAAAATATGAAAATATCCGTGCTGGTATTTATCCATTTGATAGAGAGCAGTATATAAATAACATATTGGTTTGTGGGTAACAGTAAAAATATCACTGTTACCCGAGGCGTAGTATTTTTACGAGGGATGATATTTTACTGTTACAAACAAACCAATGTGTTATTTATTTTATTACCCGAACAAATACTGTGATGATCTGAATTTGTTAACTAAATCTAACTGTAACAAAAATAAACCAAGAATAGCAATAACTAAACTGTCCTTACCATGCAAGTTTTAAGTGTACTGTATACCTACTTGAGAAGCTGTTTTTCTTTAATTCTTTCAGCAAGTGATGATATCTACCAGTCATAAATATACAATAAGCTGTGTTTTATTTAGAAAACAAAACACTTACCCATTTATAAGGTTATGATCTGTGAAATCTGATCCTTTTGTATCCAGAATATTCTTCGCATTGTTTTTGACAAAGTGCATTCACAGAATAATGATGATATCCTAAGTATGTCTTTCCACCAACTCTATCTGTAACGTTTCGCTGATTAAAATTGTAAAATAATCCTTTGTTGCATGCTTAAATCGTCTGCATGTTCCAGTTTGACACAAAATTATTCACAATACAATTACTTCCGTTGAAAACGGATGTTTACTTTTGGCTATTCAACAAAAAGATATTTTATACGCGAAAAGAACTCTACAGTAGAGTGCAAAGAACTAAATTTTATGAGAGTCATAGTTACTGTGGTGATGCCCTAGGCCCTATTGTCGAAAATTAGAATAAATCGAGAGAAAAATGGCGGCCATTTTATTTCATTTCATTTAGAAAATAGACCACGTAACCAGATTTTATACTGTTGAAAAATACTGTTACCTATGTAACAGTACAAAATTCTTAGTCACGTGGTACACTTGCATTAACAGTAAGAATAACTCCCAGAGACCTATGGGAAATTAACATTACGAAAAAAGTGAGGGGTAATAATATATAAATAACATATTGGTTTGTGGGTAACAGTAAAAATATCACTGTTACCCGAGGCGTAGTATTTTTACGAGGGATGATATTTTACTGTTACAAACAAACCAATGTGTTATTTATTTTATTACCCGAACAAATACTGTGATGATCTGAATTTGTTAACTAAATCTAACTGTAACAAAAATAAACCAAGAATAGCAATAACTTAACTGTCCTTACCATGCAAGTTTTAAGTGTACTGTATACCTACTTGAGAAGCTGTTTTTCTTTAATTCTTTCAGCAAGTGATGATATCTACCAGTCATAAATATACAATAAGCTGTGTTTTATTTAGAAAACAAAACACTTACCCATTTATAAGGTTATGATCTGTGAAATCTGATCCTTTTGTATCCAGAATATTCTTCGCATTGTTTTTGACAAAGTGCATTCACAGAATAATGATGATATCCTAAGTTTGTCTTTCCACCAACTCTATCTGTAACGTTTCGCTGATTAAAATTGTAAAATAATCCTTTGTTGCATGCTTAAATCGTCTGCATGTTCCAGTTTGACACAAAATTATTCACAATACAATTACTTCCGTTGAAAACGGATGTTTACTTTTGGCTATTCAACAAAAAGATATTTTATACGCGAAAAGAACTCTACAGTAGAGTGCAAAGAACTAAATTTTATGAGAGTCATAGTTACTGTGGTGATGCCCTAGGCCCTATTGTCGAAAATTAGAAAAAAATCGAGAGAAAAATGGGGGGCCATTTTATTTCATTTTAATTTTGGAAAAAAAAAGGGCCACGTAAACCCGGGTTTTAATCCTGTTGAAAAAAACCCGGTTACCCCATGTAACAAATACAAAAAATTCCCTTTGTTTACGTGGTAAAACTTGCAAATTAAAAAGTAAAATAAAATCCCAAAAGACCCTAAAGGGAAATGAACATTAAAAGAAAAAAAAATGAGGGGGAAAAAATTAACTAACGGCAAAATTGTCGCAAAATTTCGAAACCCAAAAGCTTTTGTTTAGAGATGTGGGCAAATATAGAAAAAGGGATTTACAAAATTGTTTTTGACCCAAAATCTGGAAAATTATCCCGGATATTTATTTATTTTTGTGACCTTTTACCTTTCAAAAAAGTAATCAAAAAATTTTTTATTAAACACATTTGTAGTCATACAAGTTGTCACTTGTGTAACAATCCATCAATCAATGATGACTAAACAGCGTTTTTCTTTCTCTACTTTGGGAATGGTGCCGTTACCAGAATGATAGGGAAAAAATCCTTATTTTTACTTAAATTGTGGAAAAAAATTATGCATTTTTCAGCTACAAATAAGATTAGTCATCATGAATAAAGATAGCTAACAGCTTCTATTGTCCAGGTAGAGCTATTGAGTCGTGATTTATAACTATTGAGTCGTGATTTATATGAATATGTTGAATTGAAATGACATCAGAGAAATCACTTGGCCTTGTGGGAATTTTGAACAGCCATTTTGGGAATTAAAACATTAAAAATTGGGAAATAGAATTTAATGTCTATTCTTAATTGGGAACAGTACCCTTTTAGGGTAGTAGTATAGATTATGCGCGCAATACTTGTGAACATTTGTGGCAAGTTACATTAAAATCCTGAGATGAATGTAGAAATTTTGCTCCAAATTAGCATTTCTGAATGACCTTTAAGTGTGAACTTAACCTGAAATCAATCTAGAGACCTTGTTCATGCACTCGACACTCTATAGTGGTGAACATTTTTTGAAGTTTCATGTCTGTAGTATATATGCTCTGGACAAAATCTGAATATTTGATCATTTTAGTGACATAGACCTTGCAAATATTAAAACAGTCAAATTGAATTACTTTGTACAAGTTATACTGTGGTTCTGTAATTTTTTTTTAAAACAGTTTTTTTTTTAACTTTGGGCTAAACATTAATCAAAACCAAATAATTAAACTTAGGTGTGGCCTAATTATACTTTTTGCAAATAACTATCGGATATGAATGACAGGAAGCGAATCAAAATGGCCGCCTGTTATTTATAAATGTAAACAAATTGTGACATTGCCACTTGTTGAAGAAGATTCAATTTTGTAAAAATTGTAAGGATTATGAAGAAATATTTTTTTAAAACAAATGAGTAACGTATATTTTCTACTTGATGATTTTTTATTGTTTGTTTCGCCGGAAAATGCTTAGCGTCGCGAATCTCCGGTAGTCGAAGATATATCACTGAAACCTTAACTATTAAGTTACATTTCAATTTGATTTGATCAAAATTTGCGTTCTGAAAATAACACTGGTCACTTAAAATTCTATACATATGCTGGTGTTGATTAATCATTACTTTTATCCAACATTTCAAGTAATTAGTTTCAAAAGATTAAAACCATATATTATTGTACTATATAATGTACAACGCAAGAAACCTTATTATTTCCCCATTCTAATTATGAAAAAGACTTTAGTAAAATTACGGCTCGGGATATTATATTCTTTTTATTACACAACATCATCACATTAACCCTGCCGTATATAAAACCAAACTAAATTGTGTCTGATATGTTTCCGTGCTTTAAACACACTTTCTGTCCTTCTGTGTCCAACGGGGAATGCGGGTCGTATCAGAATAGTAACATACCGGTATAATGCATTTCAGATATCATTCATCATACACTACTTTTTCATGGCATACTTAGATAGATGAAATATGCATATACTTAGATCATTATGAACAGCTAAAGATCTGGTCAAATAAACGATTTTTAAAAAGAAGAATGAAATAGGAAAAGACCCAGAAATTTACAGGGTTTGGCAATTTGTACTTGGTAAACAAATAAGACTACCTTAACATTAATGTCACATTGACATAAATACTCACCTATATATCTTTTCTGACGCTCGCTGTCAACAACCCGCTTCATAAATGTATCAAAGTCTTCAACGGTTTCAATTTCTGGAGATAGCTCACACATTGCAGTCATGCCTTGAAGTAAGCACTCTCTGTCTTTTTCTATTCTTTTTCTGTCCAGGTAAGTATGAAAAAGGTGAATATGTTTATTTACTATACTTATAACAAAAGATTGCTGCCTGCAAACATTTAGATCATTCATGACTAATTGTAAACAATCTTTAATAGATATATCGTCCTTTTCACATTTAATGTCGTGGTGGATACACACAGTTTTCATCATATATGAGGTAAATGTTTCCATAAGTACTCTCTCGTATAATTTTACTATATACTTGAGAAATACATAGATGATCTTGTGCTCGGGTTTCATGACAGTCAATATGAATTCAACCTCTGCTTCCGTTACAGTCACTTTAAAATCAGATTCACTTTCAGTTCCGACAAACAATAGGGATTTGCGTAGAAGAATAAGTTCAGCAAACTGTGGACAAGAGCAGTCCTCAACTTTGAAACAGTCGTGGATTTTATGGTATCTTATTGCTGGTGAAACATCGACCGATACCTTCCTGTTCTCGTCTTCAAAGTTTAGAATAACATTGGGTGCTCTAAAATCAGCACCTGTGAAAAGTAAAGACACACCATTCACGGCAGGTAAGAGAATTTTGCAAATATCTATGACAGTTGGCGCCCTTGATAATGGTCCTTTTTGTTTCAAGTTTCTGATAAACTTCCAGACCGAGTCGATAACAACATGTCCAAATCTTTTTTCACCGAGTACAGGGAAGTCAATGGGTTGAAAACATTTCAAATGACCGTCTTTACAAAGTCCGCTCCATTTTCAACTTTGGATTCTTCGTCTGCTAATACGACTTTTACCAAGCCTTTATTAATATCGCTTTCACTTGTATCTATTTCTATCACATCCGGTTTTGACAATTCTTCAATGACAGCTAAATAGTCAAATTCGTCTGCATGTATTATTTTAGTTCCCTCGGCGTAACTTCCAACTGGAATTAATTCTGATACTTTATAAAGAGGGTTAATTTGTTCTACCTGATCGAGCCAGGTGTTAATATGAAACCTTATTACATCACGAATTATTTCTGACCTCTCATTTGTTGTCTCAGTCTGAGCCTTTCTGACTACACCTTCAACTAAAAGCGAAAATTTCAGGTCGTCTTCAAATGCACTTTCAGCCATTTCCTACAACAAATATATTAAGATAGAAGATTAGTTATACTTGAATGTCAATAGAACTTCGGCATATTTTGTAACTTTCCATCTGTTAACTATATTTATTATGATCGAATACCAAATATGACCATGTGCTGTCACACTATAAAAAGTTTAAGTAATAGATATTATCAAATTTACAAGTTTAAAGGAGAAGTTGTTTAATGTCTTATCTCTTAAGATGAATTTTGTTCCCAGATTTTAGGATTACTTGTGGGGAAGAGAGGTAGGTGATTTTTAGTCCGGTTCAAAATTTAGAACTTTATAGTTGTTTTTGTGCTTCGCTTGTAAGGAATTAGATCATGTGTCTAGTCATATATTTCCTTAGACCTTGCACCATAGTATCATTTCTTAATTGGTTCATAAATGTGCAGATTTGATTTGACAGTTTGAAAATTTGAATCGAGCAACTGTAACTTGGTTGAAATTAAAAGGTTGTAATAACCAAGAAATTGGGTTCTAGTCTTATATCTCTGCGGCGTCTAAATATGGTTCATAGATATGTCTTTCCAAACAAATAACTTTGCACAGTTCTAATGTATCTAATAAATTCTTCTAGTTCACATACATGTAGATCTATATTAATCTTACATATCCAAATATCAGTAAACCAGTCAACAATCGACAAACTCAACGAATCGTCAATGAATCACCAATGAATCAACACTCTGAAAGTAAATAAATTATATCAACATAAAAATAGAGTAAAATCCAGTTCCTATATCTGAAAAGAATAATTATCATGATTTATAAAAAACATCACATTTTATTTGGTCAATTACAATTAGATATTTGCAACACATTGCACATATTACTCATGGGTACATTAACATATAAAACCCCAGTCACACTAGAGCTTACGACTACTTGCGACCACCGGCGACTTGTAAAACTGACGATCATCAGCGATTGTCTGCGACCGAAACCATTTTTGCAAAGATAAATTTACTTTTGCGAGTATCGTAAGACAAGTCATCATTGACAATCGCACGACGGGTCGTAAGTAAACGTACGATGGTCTCAAGATTGCTAGGGATTACTTACGACTACCCGTGACATAACATGCGATCACCTACAACTTGTCGTACGACCATCACACGATTACTAAAGACTACTTAAGATTATCAGTGACTAGTGGCGATTTGTAAAGGCTGTCGTAAGATTGTCGCACTTCCGAACGACCATCGTGCGACAGCCTTAAGACCTTATAAGATCACCAGCGACCTATTTGATCGCAAGGAGGTTTTTGTGCAAGCTCAAAAACCTCTCTACGACTGAAATTGGTCGTGGGACCTAAATAAGATAACCTGCGACTGTCAAAGATCATCGATGACCGTCGTAAGACGTTTTAAAGATTGTCCGCGACCAGAGGTCACTGGTGATCGTGAACTGGTCTTCACTGGTCGTAAGCTCTAATGTGACTGGGGGTTTACATAGCTATATGCTTTCTGTTGGCTGTCATTAACATAAATAGTCCATTAAATGAAATTATCATAATAATGATGATAATAATAATAATAATAATAATAAAGGCTTTATTTAACGAGGCTACATATTCGCCAAAACAATCTTCCATATGTACCTCAACATATTTACAACATATTTACATCAAATAATTGTACAAAAGACAATATAATTATATAACATAGAATTAACTAGTTATAAAAGCAATGACAAACTAAACATAGATTATTAACATTAACAATGAAAACTGCAGTAAACATAATTATATAAACATAATACTATATACTATATTGGTTTAACCAGAAGTACTTCCACTTTATGAAGG